TGGGTGGGTGCGGACCTTCGCGGGCGTCTACCGCGGGTGGTCGGGATCAGGGGGAAGGAGGGTGGGTGGAGGGGTGCTTCGCGAGGGTATTCCGACTGTCGGAGGAGGGGGTACCGACCGCTGCAGGAGGGCCCTATTCGGCCGATAAAAAAAAATAGCGCCTACCGACCGCTACAGGGCCCTATTCGGTTGGTAAAAAAAAACAGCGCCAACTGCGCCAACTGTGCTTTGCTAATCGGCCGGTAAAACAGATTCAACTGCGCCAACTGGCCTTTGCTACTCGGTCGGTAAAACAGATCCAATTGAGCCAGAATCGGCTTATATTATCTACTAACGCGTGTTTCTATGGTTGTTAGCAAATAAGAATTTTATATAGTACAGAGTATGAAATGTATAATGTGTGCACGCAGTATAGTATGGGTCGCGAGTCGTTATGGATTTAATATAGTTCTTTTGAAATGTAACGCGTATACCTTTATTATTGACAGTTTAAGTTAGCACGTAACAATTAATAATTTATAACTGTGTATATTGTTTTTGAATAAATAAAGCAGAATATTGAAATGGTTATGATAATAATTTTATAGTTATTATGAATTTGCATGTTTCAATTGATTATTACAATTATTTATATATTATACGTATGTTTCTCGCGTTTGTCCATTCCCTATAGATCGGTTTCTGATTGGACGGTTAGTGTTAAGAGTCTCGTCTTGATTCAGTGGGGATTCAGGAAGGTGAGTAAAAGAGGTGTTTAATGGATACGGGCACTGTAGTGTAGAAAGAAAGAGAAGATATTGTCGGTCTGCGTCGCGCTTGCGGTGCAGCTGTCCGGACGCTCACGTATACCGGCTGTGCGTGTGTGTGCACGTGTGACGGAACTCCGTTGTGTGCGTCATTCAGGCACGTTTCCTGTCATATTGTATGTATTGGCGCGTGCCGCGTCGTACGTGAGGTTAAGTATCGTTTCGAAATAATATTGAATTTTGCGCTTGGCGTTACGGTTAACAACTTCAATGAAAATAACAAAAAGGAAATTTTGAGGCGAGGCGTTACACAAGATTCACTTGACAATCACGTTACTTCGCTTATTACACGAAAGATCGCAAGATTCGCTTGCAGATTGATTTCTTTTACGTTTTCTCGTGGAACTAGCGTATTTGATCGAAAAAATTCAAGCCGTAGCGTGAATTTGCATTAGTTCACGTTTTCTACAGTAGAAACGAAAGATACGCTCGCCGCTTGAATTACTCGAGGCTGCAGAATGGAAATAACATAATAAAGCAGAATATTTCAATCACACTCTTCAGTTTGCATCCTTTCACGATTTAACGTGAAGGAACGCAAGATTCGCTTCACAATCACGTTACTTTGCCTATTACACGGAAAGTCGCAAGTTTCGCTAGCAGATTGATTTAATTTACGTTTTCTCGTAGAAATAGCGTATTTGATCGAAAAGTTTCAAGCCGAAACGTGAATTTGCATTAGTTCACGTTTTCTACTGTAGAAACGAAAGAAACGCTCTCCGTTTGAATTCCTCGAAACAGCAGCATGGGAATAACATAATAAAGCAGAATATTTTAATCACATTCCTTAGTTTGCATTCTTTTACAATTTAACATTGAGAAAGGCAAAATTGACTCGACAATCACTTTTCTACGCCTATTACACGAAGAATCGCAAGTT